GTCAGTCGCTAAAAATATTACACTTTTTACGGCACACAAAAATTCAATCATTAAAAAATATACTTTTCACGATGCACATATACTAACTGTTAAAAATATTTTACTTTTTACGACATGTAATTCCTGTCGTGAGTAATGAGTAATATGACCAAAATAAAAATAGGCGCCAAAAGTAAAATACTCTGGCGCCAAATGTAAAATGAAATAATCTTCGAATTGGCGTAGTTGTCTCTCTCTACACGAATGCTAAAAGCTCAGTGATCTCCAGAAGTTACTACTACTCTCTACTCCACCACACTCTTCCATTTCAAACCCTAAATCTCTACTCCTCCACCACACTTCCATTTCAAACCCTTAAATCATATTCTCACTCTCTTTCACTCTCTCCTCCAATTTCTCTCTCTACAACCCACAACGACCATGGCTCTTCTCTCACCCAATTCATCGATCCAGAGCTGCCATGGAGACTAGCAAAAGGCGAGAGCTGGTTTTCAGAGACTTCCATTACCTTTTACCCGTTCCGAACTCACTCAACACTCATCACGGTTACCCCTCTTCCTATTCCCTTCTTCAGATCTAATTTTTGTGTACCCTTTTGTTGTTTTCTTGTTGTGTTTTTGATTTTTTGGAGAAAAAATTGTGTTTTTGATTTTGGGTTTTTTGTGTTTAGATGGATCGGTATCAGAGGGTAGAGAAACCGTGGCCAAAGACGCCGATTAAGAATGAGATTCGTATAACCACTTAGGGAAGGATGAGGAACTACATTATTTATGCTACCACTCTGTTTAAGGTCTCTCTCTCTCTCTCTCTCTCTCTCTCTCACACACACACACACACACACACACATAGAAAAATTAGGGTTTTGATTGAACAAATAAAAAATTAGAATTGTGTTTCAGGTTGTGAAATTATTATTATTTTTTTGTTTTTAAATTTCTTGAATGCGAGTTGGGGAAAATGTCTGAATCTGAATTGGAAAAATTAAAACCTGAATGTGAAATTAGGTTCTTGGGTTGAACACATTTTTTTTTTAAATATAAATTTGTTGAATCTAAAGAAATTGGGTTCTATTACGAATCGTCTTCCGACAATAGGAATCATAAATGCACAAACCATCATATAGAATGAAAGTGAAACACAGCACACAGGGAAATCTTGAAAGACAAACACAATTGTGACAGCAGTGTTGCAGTAATTTAGAATGTAGAACTATATTCCACTGTATACAGATGAAAGGTGCTATATGTAATGATAGTTTATGTTAATTTTGTGAAGAAAAAAAAAGGCAACAGTTTCATTTAGTTTGGTGAGCACACAATTTAAAAATTACACTGTTGTTTCATAATTTTTAACCAGAAACACGACCCACATACTAAAAACCTTAGTGTATGACCTGACAAACACCAACAATTTTTTCATCTTTCCCCAGAAATCAAGGTTAAGTGGCCAAACCAGGTAACCACTTGGCTTACACTGGCAGTGGTATAAGGTAGAAAAAATGGAAGCTTGGAACTTCCAAGTTTTGCTGAAATTTTTTAACCTTATTCTAATGATATCCTTTAACTAAAGAATGGAAGACAACAGGACATCTTTCATCTTAGAAATTTGCTAAAACAGAAAAAGGGAAAGCATTTTTATTGCTTTCTTTTACGCCTCAGAAAGAAAATTTGAAGCATAATATTGCCTTAACAATTCCAATGTGAAAAGATGACAAACTTGTTCCTGATAATTTCCAATATGGCACATATACATATAAACCCAATCAAATAGCTCTATAATAATTCCTGTATTCCTGTATAAAATTGTCAAATAGTCCAATACAACCGAGCTGTCTTCAAGAAAGTACCAGCTCAATAATGTCGTGCTTCTCCTTCAGCCATAGACTATTCTTCAAACTTTGCCAATGGGCTTCCTTTCTCATTTGAGATTCAGGTGCAGATTTTTCTTTTTAATTTTATTTTTGAAACAAAAAAGAAAACACAGATGGCTGTGGAAACTTCTTCAAAAATAGAATTGTCAAGATCCAATAAAGCTTTATAGAACGTTATTAACTAATTTAAGTTATGCACTCAAGAAGTGGGTAATTGCTTTGTTACTTGTCAAAAGGGAGTTTGATCATAAACAAAAGGCAAGGTCCCTTTTAGGAAACCGCATTAATGGTTCAATTCCAAAGGAAATCAAATCAGAGACATTGCTACTCTTGAGGAGCTGTAAGTCATGGATACTGTTCTGTCTACTGGACTAATAAATGAAGCCTGACCTTGATTTTAACGTGAACTATCTTATACAGGGTCTTGGAAGATAATCAGCTTAGAGGACCTCTTCATCAAAACCTTGGAAATTTGAGCTGCATGAGGAGGCTGTAAGAAAGTTCTTTCTTTTTGTTTTAAACTTAATACTTTCTTCTAAATTGTACACTTGAATATACCGAATTACATGCTGGTGCTATCATTGCCAAAGCTTCTTATCTAAAATGCTTTTCTGGTTGGAGATAGAGTATTAATGTGTTGAAAAATAGCTGTGTGATCAGGAAGGGTTTCGTATGCATGATCCTGTCCAGCTGTGACCTTCAAATATTGGATGAGAAGTGCCATGAGAACTTGCTTTTTTAACTTCCCAGTACTATTTCCATAAGGCTTTTTTTTATTTTTATTTTTTTATTTTTATTATAAAAAATTTTGTGATCTTTTTAAGCTACATTGAAAGAGAGCATGGCTATTTTGAATTTAAAAGCATCGTGATTATTGTTGATGCATTTCTTGCCTTGTCCAACATTCAATCATTGTGTCTATCAATATATAGAGTAATGCTATACAAACAAAAAATTCATATATAATGATGTGACTCATTGTAGACCTTTCACTTCAAAACAAAACACCATTGAAGATGGATTTATTTATAATAATGGCATTGCCATATCATTCTTATCAAGTTTTTTGTATGAATTTTATGTATGTTTATAATTGTCCCAATATATATGGTAGTCTTTGTCTGAGATTGCAGTGTCAAACATCTCTTACATGCATTGAACATTGTCTTTTGGGTATCTTTCTATGTTGAGTTGAGTGCGACAAAATGATGTTAACATTGCCACTACTGGTGCTATCGTTCTCATGTTGTTTCAAGGGAATTTATAATGGATAGTTTTCTGCAGCTTTCTTTCTGCCAACAATTTTACTGGAACAATTCCAGACACATTCAGCAAATTGAAAAACTTGACAGATTTGTAAGTGGTAATTATTTTGACATTTATTAGTCTTGAATTTTAGTAAATCTAAAACTTCTTCAACTAATTGCAGTAGGATAGATGAGAGTGTACTATCTGGGAAGATACCTGATCTGATTGGGAACTGGACAAAAATTAAAACACTGTGACTATCATTAGTAGTTCCATGCATTAGCAATCTTTTCCTTGCCTATGGAATTCTAACAAGCTTTCTCTTAATTTTTTAATTTTACCTAAGAACATCTCAAATAATTGTTAAATAATCTGTTTCAGGCATATGCAAGGCACATCCATGGATGGCCCCATTCCTTCTACCATATCCCAGCCGAAAAACATAACCGAGTTGTGAGGACTCATTTACAATTGTAATTACTTTTATCATATTTAGTAAATTGCCTAATTACTGGTCCAATCCCAGATTACATTGGTGAATTGGCTACACTTAAAACATTGTAAGTTATTCTAATCAGTATTCTTACTGGGATGCATGGTTTATATTTTTTTTAATCGAATGCTGATTTGATATCTCCAAACAGACTAAACAGAGAATTGCCAAATTTATGCTTGTAATCTGGAATGAAGTGGTTGCACTAGATGTTTCACTTGGCATGTTACATTATATGTGATCATTGCAGTGAAGGATAAATAGTTACAACATCAAAGCCAAAGAATCTGTAAATGATGTGATGTCTTGTTTCTTCTTCAAATAATAAAAAATAAATAATTTTATAGGCTTGTCAATACCCTTGGAACCCCCAAGGACACCCCACAGCTCCGTGAGAAATTGTGAGTGTCATCTCTCTACTTTCATGATCTTCCCGGGGGGGGTGCCCGATTAAGCAATTGGGTCAAGTTGGTTTTGTTACATATATGAATTAAGAGTTTTGAATAAGGATTTATGGTTGTTTTGGGAATTGACTCTCTTAGTAGTTTTTGGGTATTTATGAAAAGCTCTTTTTTTTTTGTGGCTAAAATTGCAACTTCCCAAAATAGCCTTAATAGATGATGAGTTTGACTTAGTGGGTTAGAAATTTTGGTTATGATGATTAGAAGACTGAACAGGAAGGAGATGATGATAAGCAAATTGGATTGAGTAGTAAAAAAATTCATCTTAGTAAGTAATCTGGTTTGGACAAGTTATGGTATTGATGCAGTAATAGATCCTTGCCATTTGGGCTCAATTCTTGTATGGAATATGCCTAGTTGATGAAACATAGAAAATGTAATTTGACAGATGCTAACTGTTCCCATACTAGGACTGTGAGCGAGGAGGGTTTATTGTGATTCTATGGGTTGAGTTTGGTGAGAACCTAGACTTGACTTTCTGCTGTTTATTTGCAGGTTTTCAGCTGGTCTATTTTAGGGGAATTGTTTATTTGAGGGTTGAGTGATTGAGGCGTATATTGTTGTATAGTTTTTTCTCTTTCAGTAGTTGACTGCTTGGTGTGAGTTGGGTGTTGTCTGTGGGTTGATTGATATTAGCCAGTTTTATGTGAGTCTTGCAGTTATCTATTGTTGAATTGTCCTATTAATATGTTGATTGCTTGGCTCTCTTAGGATCATTTAATAGAATGATGGCCTGGAGCAAGTAATCCATTTTGATGGATCTTGTCCCAATTGTTGATTGTTGAAGCTCTTGTTTTTGCTGCTAGTTGTATATGTCACTGTGTTGAAGAGTTGGCTGTTTGTATGCTGGTTCTTTTTTGTTACCTTTGTTGTTGCCTGGTTGCTGGTTCCTGCTGGTGTTGTTGTGTTCTTTGCTGTTGCCTTTTTTGGGTTTTGTTCTGGTTTTTGTTATTTTGGATCTTTTTAGTGGTTAAGTTGTGCCCAGGTTATGTTGTTCTAAGGCTTTTTGTTCGCCTTGTTCTTGCCCCTTATTTGCATCTTGCTCATGTGTTGTTTGAACATGATGGTTCTTTTTCTAGTGTGTTCTTGTTTTTTTTTTTTTTTTTTTTGTTTTGTTGGTTGCTGTGTCCCTGTATAGTTGGTTAGCTCTTGGGGTATACCCCTTGTAGTTTTTTTGTTGTTTAATTTATGACTTATTCATCAAAAAAAAAAAAACAATTAGATATGGCAAATTTAGCTCAAGGCACCAGAAGCTTATACATGTTGGTTGTCGGTTGTATTCCTTTTTACGGTTCTACAAAGAGTGGTCTTGTTAATGCTGGTATATTGTAAGAATATTGGAAAAGCTGGCAAATTATGCTTACGTCAAGTGTTGTGTTATTCTTTACTCGATTGATAATGTTTGTTAAATCACATTATTGCTTATTTCTGCTGCTCTCCAGGCTAAAGTTGTTCCTCAACAAGTATTACCCGTTTGAAAAACTTAAATAGGCAAACCATTGATGTTCTGGCTGCGAGACTCTACTTCTATTACTCTCTCAGTTATGAGCTCACTGGTGATCTTACTGAAATTCAGAGGTGAGTACTCTCCATTAATATCAATTCCTTACTTTTATTTGAAATCATTTGTATGTCCTTGCATCTGAGAGTAATGCACAAGTACGTATTTAACAAAATAAATAGGACGAAGGAACAAGATTAGAGAGGAATTAGTTGATGGAATGATAATGGTCTCTTATCTTTGATATAATATAACTGATTAGAGAGGAATTAGTTGAGCTCACTCATCAATAAACAGGTAAAGGGGAAGGCTCCACACAATTTTTTACTCACAGCACTCAACCCACATTTAGTAACCTCACAATACTCATGCTTTGTATCTCCTTGCACCTGCAAAACAGATTCCACTTAATATAGACAAAAGTGTTAGTAAAAACCCACATATATATGGTCTCATAACACTCAACCCACATTTTTAGTGAACCTAAATTCTTCACATCCAACAAATCCTACAAAAGAACAGACATTAATAGAAATAAAACACTCCATATGAACTCTCATCACTCGACCCTTAGTTTAGAGAACTCACAACCCTGAACAATGAACCACTCAATATATACTCATAGCCACTCAACCCACACAACACAGAAACACCTCAATACGTGAGGATACTTCTTGGAAGCCTCCAAGAATTAAGGAACCCACTCATTATTATTTGATCTTTTGACATTTGAAAGAGCCATAGCTCTGCATCTAATCATTTGAAAGAGCGAGAGGTTTGTGACTCATGTATGGCCCTACGAGTTCATGAATTCAAG